TACCTTAGCCCCGTGGAAGCCCGAGATATTTACCAGCAGCTCAAAGCTCAAATGTTTACCCCTTTTTCGTTTTTCCCTGAGGAAGCTCCCAAGCCCTCACCTCCACAGACTGTTTGTCCCTCCATACGGCTAGGCGCCATTTTTCTGTCTCCTGTCCCCGAGCCCACTCCAGTGTCCACCGGTTTTGCCTCCTCACCCTATACTGGTACGAGGTTGGCCCTCTGTCCAGGTGGTCCTGGAGGGGGATGGAGCAGGAGGAAGGGTTGATGCCAGCCAGCTCCCCAGCAGCTCAAGCCCTTGTTGCAGCTCCAGCCCCAGCAGTCCAAGCCCTCACTGCAGCTTCAGACCCAGCAGCCATCTCTGCAGCTTCAGCCCCAGCAGTCCAAGCCATCGCTGCCGTTTCAGCCCCCGCTCCAGCCTCCATGTGCTCCCCATCCACATGCTCCTCACCAGCTGCAGCCTCCACGTGCTCTCCAGCCAGCTCCTCGCCGGCCTTCATGAGCTCCCCAGCCAGACCTCCAGCTGCCGCAGCCCTCGTCTCAGCCAAACCTCCAGCTGCCGCAGCCCTCATCTCAGCCAGTTCCTGTTCTTGTCTCCGGGCGGGTCGGCCAGCGCGCCGACGCCGCCCCGTCTCCTTCAGTTCCAGTTGTTGTCTCTGGGCGGGTCGGCGTCAATGCCACTCTCCGGCTTCCAGCTCCTGAGGGGTTCGCCGACAGCACCACCCTGCTTCCTGCACCGCAGGGGTTTGCCGACGGCGCCACCCTGTTTCCTGCACCAGAGGGGTTCGCCGTCATCCCGGCCCTTGCCCATGGGTACTCCATCCCAGCTGCAGCCACCGTCCCATCTGGTCCTCCAGTCACCGCTGCAGTCACCGTCCCCACCATTCTCAGTCTGGTGCCTTGGTCGGCCGCTCCTCCGGGGCCTTGTCCAGTCCCGAGATCGCCCTCCACAACGGTGTCTATGCTCTCAAGCCTGGCGCCGGGGTCGTCCCATCCTCCCAACCGGCCGCTACACTTTCAAGCCTGGTGCCGAGGTCGTCCTCCCAACCGGCCGCTACACTTTCAAGCCTGGTGCCGAGGTCATCCTCCAGAACTGTCCTTTGTCACCCCCTAGCCTGACGACTGTGTCGTCCTCCAGAGCTGTCCTTTGTCGCCCCCTAGCCTGATGACTGTGTCGTCCTCCAGAACTGTCCTTTGTCGCCCCTGCCTGGTGCTTATGGGTCACCCTTGGTGGCCTTGTTTTCTTTTGGCGACTAAAGCTTAACAATGGAGGAAACTGGAAAGAACTGGATTTATTGTCTATCATTAGTACTCTTGAACATGCATGTAACTCCCACAGCACATGGGTTAACACCCTTTGAACTAATGTATGGTAGACCTTACATTATTCCACAATTAAAACCCTTCCAGCATCCAGATGAAGAGGCTGAACAAACCTTAGCAGATTATATAGCGACAATGCTAACATACAAGGAGGTTGTTTGTGCTAATTCTGTTCCAGGGGAACCAGTGGCGCCGCAAATCAAAACTGTGAAACCTGGAGACTGGGTGCTACTGAAGGTGATTAACAGAGAAAGCCGGTCCAGTCCAAGGTGGTAAGGTCCATACCAGATATTGCTCACCACACCTACAGCAGTAAAGATAACTGAGAGGACATCCTGGATTCATCTGTCCCACTGTAAGCTGGTGACACCTTTATCCTCCTAAAATAGGTAAAGGACAGTTAGCTACACACCACTGCTCTCTGAGGCAGCAAGTCTGATTACAAAGGGGACTTGATCCAATAGGGAAGAGTCATCTCAAACTCAGTGAAGAAACCATCAGCCAATAGGAGCATAGAGTGTGACCTAAAATATGCATGGACAGATAGAGGAGGATCAGGAAACCAGCTGGGGACTGTTTGGACAAACCTCACCTGTAAAAGTTAGACCTGAGAGTATAACAAGAAATAAGCCCAGTCACATTGGCATCTTAATTATGTCAACTATAGCAATAGTTGTAATCTTATTACTTCACTGGCTCTTCTCTGAAAAGCCACAGACAGTGACAAAGTTGAGAAATAAAAGGAACCTTGAAATTCATTACCCTATGCCTGAGATAAAGGACAAAGAAGGCGATACCATAGTGACAAAAATTGACCTGTGTAACCTTATACAATGTTATGGAGACCCAAACCATTACATTTGGGCAGACAAGTATATCTGTACTCAGGATGAGGAATGTGGTATGTATGAGGATAGTATCATATACTGTCCCACGTGGCACACCGGACCCTTAGATTGGGGATATAATCCCACTTCCCCACAGAAGAATCATCTAACTATAGTTAAAGGCATCCCTCAACATTGTACATTTAACAGCTGTAACCCCCTTCTCATAACTCTAAAAGATGCCAGACCATCTGATAGTGGCATATATCCCCTAGGCGTATATCTGAGAGGAAGTGGCCTAATAGGAACCTTCTGCTTAAAAATTACCGAAGTAGATACAAAATCTCCTCCCTCAGGTAGTCTTCACAATACTAATGCATCTCTAGTGGATGAGGGAGTAGAATACCTGAAAGGCCTTACATGTAATGGCCCTAGAAACAGGATATGCTGATAAAAATGAATGGTTTGAGTGGATGACGTTTACTGCACAAGAAAGTAATGTTAGTAATTGTATCATGTGTTCTACTGCCAGACCTCAATTAGGAACTGCTCCTCTTCAATTGAATGAATTGGCAGATTCTACAGGATTACAATGCATACTACAGTTGCTTGATAAGGCTTTTTCTCCAACCACTGAACAATGTAAATCTCTCTCTTTACTGTGTCCACCAGTAAACAAAAGAGACGTTCCTCCCTCAGTAGACATTTATCCTGGGAATAATACATGCTTTGTGCGCTCTGGTCCTTGCAAGAATGTCCACAACCTGCCTCCTGCCTGGTGTGAGGAGACCTTCAACATCACCACTGACAGTGGTGACTATTCTGCCACCTGGTTTGTGAACCAAACTATCTCAAGGGCATACAGATGGTGGATATGCAGAGATGGTAAGTTGAGACCCAGACTTCCCTCACAGTGGCGAGGCAGATGTGCCCTGGTGCAGCTGCTGATGCCTTTTCACATATTCTCATTGAGAGAATACAAGGAGCTGGGGGAAAGGCTGTTATTTGCATCCCGCCTACATTGCAGAACCAGGAGAGCAGTTAGCCCCAGAGGTTCGTTTGACAGCAGAGTGTACATAGATGCAATTGGCATGCCCCGAGGGGTACCTGATGAGTTTAAAGCTAGAAATCAAATAGATGCAGGGTTTGAATCTTTTCTTTCCTGGTGGGTCACAGTAAATAAAAATGTGGATTGTATTAATTACTTGTACTATAATCAACAACATTTTGTAAATTATACCAGAGATGCGAAAAGAGGCATAGCAGACCAACTAGGCCCAACTTCTCTCATGGCATGGCAAAATAAGATGGCCCTAGATATGTAGTTAGCCGAGAGAGGGGGAGTATGTAAGCTGTTTGGAACATTTTGTTGTACTTTTATACCTAACAACACTTCCCCAGATGGCAGCATCACCAAGGCCCTTGAAGGATTGACAGCCCTATCCGAGGAGCTGGCTGAGAATTCTGGCATCGACAACCCCTTCACCAGCTTCCTGGAATCTTGTTTCAGGAAATGGAGTGGCTTCTGGGTTGATTTCTCTGCTCGTGGCTGCAGCCCTGCTGGTAGTGTGTGGCTGTTGCATTCCCTGTCTGTGGGTACGGATGCAGAGACTGATAGACGCTGCTCTGACTAAGACAATGTACCAACAGGTTTGTGTCGCGGAAGGAGAAGAAGAAGAAGATCACCATGAACCGGACGATTGGGTTTGAAAAAAGACTTCCCCGATTCTGATCTGAGTGAACCATGTATGACTTGTTTTAATGAAAACCTGAAAAGGAGAGTTTAAACAATGAGATCCTGGGATGATCAAGATTAAGAATTATGCTGTAAATAAAATTATTCTAAAAGTTTAAACAGGAGGGAATGTTATAAAAATTCTGTTATTAGACATGATTTTTACAATTTAATGTGTTTTAAACTTTCAGAACAGAGCCATGTGAGAAACTGAAACTGAAGGACATTTTCTGTCTTTCATGTGAAACTCTGTGTACTGTGATATACTCAACTACAGACTGTTCCAGACGAAGCGAGACACAACCGTTAACTATAAAAGCATGTGTCCCAGTATGATTAGTGTCTAAGTCGTGTTATCAGGGCATGCCTGTTTACTATATATATATTATGTTGTATGAACCTACCTCACTCAGACAACTCTGTATGCTCATGCTGACTTGTCTCCTTGCTGCAAGTAAACTAATTACTTAAAAAGATTCCAGTGACTTCTGTGCTTCATTAAAAATTCCTTTGACAGTAAACATTGTTCTCAGTTTGCAGTGGTCTACGGAAGGACAAACAGTGAACTGGCTACAGGATCACTTATGATGAGGTTGATCTACTGTAAATTAAAATTTTAAATTTCATTCATGCTTTTCAAAAGATTCCATGTAGTTTGAATCTTTGTTAAAAGGGTTGAAAATGAGAAATACTGTACATTGGTGTTTATATAAAGAAAAGCATTCAGTGGCTATAGTAGAGATACAGTGTCATGCCTGGAGGCTGAATTTGTCAAAAAGAATTCTCTCTAATTTGTCCTCATGTCCATAGTTTTCACAGCTTTTACATACACTTTTCCCTGAATGGTTGACACATTCGTGCTCTTCCTGACACTATAACCATGGAAGCAAACAGATTCACAGCACTAACATACTAGATATGAATGGTGCAGATGCAGGAAGTACATCCTGTGCTGCACCTTCTTGGTGATGGTGCCGATGTTGGATGTTCAGGTCTTGGGACAGAGCGCCAGTTATGTGCTCCCTCATTGTTTTCAACATTGTCATGTTGCAGCCTGATCACAATACTGGACCTTCTTCATGATTTGTTATAGTTATTCAGCCTCCAACACATGGTGCATGTGATGTAGTTTCAGTGTGGGTTAAAATATAAACTACTGGGATTACAAGCTGTAAACAAGTATTTGAGAGCAATATTTATAGTGTAATATTGTACAAAACAAGGTAATGGCACATTATTAAATTAAGCTATAAATTCCCAGTAGCCAAAGGAGATGACAGCAAAGCAGGTTATGCATGTTTCATTAGTCATATGGTCTACAAGTGAATAGAAGAAAGAGCAGATACAGTATGTATTAAAGAGTATGATTAAAGATTGTGTCTATTGCAGAACAAACAGAGAGGTAACTAATAACATTAATACATATGTAATGCATATAAGAGTCCGAATGAGCCATGTCAGTGCAGCCTACATAATAATACTAGAACTGAAACTGACTTCTAACTGTAATGCAGTCTTTATTTATGAATTTTTTATATCTGTGCTTTTCTTTCTATAACATGTAAAAAATGTATCCTATGAAAAAGGTTCAAGATGCTTTAGATCATTTATGCCTGTAGAATTGTTTTTATTTTGTTTTGCGATGCTTCTTCACTCTTGAAGCTTTAACCAAACTCTCTTTTCCCTCAGCTGCACTGAGTGGTTGTTGCAGCAGCATCCGCAGTTCTGTGTTCTCGTGCTCCAGGCTCTTTGTCTCAAAGGTGAGGTCCGAGATGTCTGTGAGGATCTTGCTGGAATTACAGAAAAAAAAAATTTTATGACTCATTTGTGTGTGTGTGTGTGTGTGTGTGTGGTTGTTACTCACATGTACTGCTTCAGTGCTTTCTCTGCAGTGTCCCAGAGTTTAAGTTTGTCCTCCAAGATAATGTTGCCCATACTCTCCCAGTAGGCTTTATCCTCTGAACTATCCTGGGTTTCTAAATGCAGCTGGTTGGTCTGTTGGTGGGCTGAGCTCTCCCTTAGAAACCACCAAGAGCATATTAACATCACATATTCATAGAGAAAGACTGCCTAAGTGATGTCTCACTAAATATTATGTTGAAAACATACATGCAGTCCTGATAACTAAATGCTTTTGTTGACATGGAAAATAAATAGATAAGCTTCGGTTGGTCATTTCTATAAATGTGATCTAACCTGAATCTCATCTGCTGCTCAAGGAAACTTTTAAGAGCAGGTAGGACATGTTTAGGATCGATGAGTTCAGAGGTCAGATTAGTCATAGAGCTGGTCTCTGCTGTCTCAGCCAGCTCACCACAAACATCCTGTAGGAAGAAAAAACACCGACGGAAGATGCAGAAATAGTAACTGTCTAATTACAATCATCTTCTCAGTCAAAGACTTAAGGCAATACTTTGCTAAACTCATTTCAAAATATTATTTTTTAGGAGGATCCCTCCACTGCTCTCCTCAACTCTGTCCCTCCTCACCTCAGTCTGCTGTTGATTGTACTTTAATAAGAAAGGAGCCAGCTTGGGTACATCCTTCTCTTCAATGCCCAAAGACTGCAAGAAAGAAAACAGCATGTCTGGTTGTTCAGGATTGTCCCTGTATAGTCCAACAGCAAAACACCCACTCTAACTCCTAAGGTATCTGCTACATATTGTACCACAGTGTCTGTAACGGCTGTGCTGTATTGTGAGAAAACAGGAGAAAAATAAGAGGACATGAACTCACACTCATTAGAGTGTCTAGCTTCACAACAGTCTGTTCTTCCTTCTCCAGCAGAGTCAGCAGCTCTAGGGGTTTACCCTCAGTTAGGAAACCCTGAGACAGGAGGAGGAGAAACATTTGGTTGGAGATGCTTGTCACACAATGTCACAGTATTGCTTTCTTGTGGTGTTGTAACTAACATTGTCATTTGCATTCTGCAACACATTTTAGAAAAAGCTTCAACTCCAGTCTGCAGTCAGGCGCTTTCTATTAGCTATAGCAAAGCAGCAAGTTGGGACATGTTAAAGGCCACCGACGAATTAAGATGGCAGCATTAACAGAAGGAATAGTTCATTTGAGGAGCAAGATTTATTTGCTTTATTGCCGAGAGATAGATGTTCACACTCTCTGTACATTAAATACAAAACTACAGCCAGGAAACAGCTGGCCTAGCTTAGCATAGAGACAGGAAACAACTAGGCTGACTCTGTACAAAGGTTGAGACTTCCAGCACCTCTATTGTTTAGAACAAATTTTGTTCTAAAGATGTATCTGCTTAATAAACTATTTCTGTAATAAACATGAATAATGAACTCCTTTCTCACCACCTCATCATACAGCACCTCCATCACTTTATTCAGTGTCTCCATTGACAGCTCCTCCCCCTCCACATCTGCACCACTCTCACTCTGCACCGCTGTCCCTTCTTTGTGCATTTCCATGTCTGAGCTCTCTGCATTGGTCTCCAGCCCACCTGAGGCACCCATCATCTTGTGGTTGCACTGTAAAGCCTGTCCAGTTTGAAACACCTGGGAGATGCCCTGGCGGCTGTGCCTGTGGGCCTGTTTCTGAGGCTGGATAGGACTGGAGCATTCCATGAAGGCCATAGGAGGCTGCTCCCAGGATAAACCAAGGTTCTTGCAGATCAGCGAGTCGATGACCAAAGCCCTCTCTGCTAGTTGATTCACCTCTGCATCACACATTAGCCACATCTCCTTGTATTTTCTGGAATTAGCAGCTGCAGTGTGCCTGCAGGGAGTGAAGGAGGGGTGGAGGTGTAAAGAAAAGAGGAGCAGAAGAGGACAAAAATTCAGGTATAAGTAGTAAGCTGTAGTACAGTACTATATGTCAGTGTCACTTTAACCTCATAAGGTAATCATAACTCACTTAAGTTTCTTCTGCATGTTCTCAAATTCCTGGATGCTGCGTTTGTAGTCCTTGATTGTAAGTTCCTTCTCCTGACAGGAACTCTCATCCACCAGATGTTTCATGTTATAAACCAAAACATTGGTCAAATTCAAATATTTAACTGACAGTGACACTGGGTAAAAAAAAAATTAAGTGATCACCTACAATACTGAGAGGCACATGAAAGTCTGATCCAAATTTCATGGTAATCTATCTTATGGTGACATCAGAAGAAAAGTCAGTAGGGTATATCCTCTGAGAATTCATGGCAAAACCATTCAGTAGTTGTTGAGATATCGTATAGTTCAACAAGACATTATTTAACAAAGGTGAAGAAAATCATGTGAAATTAATCAAGTCAATTAATCAATTTATTGTTGCTCAATTAAAAGACAGTGTACTCAGATGTCCTGTGTAACAAACCCTATACATCTGATTCACGTGGACTAATTATTTACATTTGCTTCTTCAACCAAACATGTTCCTACCTTGATCTTGGCCTGCAGCTTGATGGAGGCCATGTCCAGGGCACTGATTTGATCCTCCATCCTTTCTATTTCCTCTACTTCCTAAATAGATAGATAGATGATAGACACACAAATAGATGGATAGAGTTATCTGTTGCATTGGAGCTGGCTATTTTGAGCTTCCTGCAGCTCTTGTGGTATCACCTCCACAGTGAACTCCTCAGCCATTGACAGTTTTCTGGTGATCTCCTCTAATTTATTCTCGAAGAAGTTTACATCTTGTACTAGCTGCTCCAACCTACACCAAGAAGGACAAACAGGAAGGTGGATAATAGAAAGCAATACATATTTTTACAATTTCACATTAGCTATTTTTAAAAGTTTGTATTCAACATGGAAGAAGTGTGGATTTTTTTAAAGTGACCTTTTTGTTTGATCTTCTTCCAGCATTGTCCTTTGCTGTGACTCTTCCACATCAGCTGCAGTTGGAATGTTCTTCACTAATGTTGTACTGGGATGTTGCACTGGGCCAGTTTTATGAGGATCACTTTGGAGCTTGGTGTAGTCTCTGCCGAGGAGTCGTTTAGTTGACGACTGCATTGGTTCTGGGTCTGGTTTTGATCCATCTTTTGCTAAACAAATAGAAAGGATGTGCCAAGAAGTTATTTGAAATACAGAGAACTCAAGTCAATATTCATTATCTATTTTACTGCTCTGGATAGCAGGGCTGCTTCTTGGGGAAAGGGTTAAGAGAAAGCATGCAGTCATTTTCCACTAAAAACACCATCAGTAAATTATGTTTTCTACCCAGCCCGTGCACAGAGAATGTAAATCAGGTTTAATGTCAGTATGTAAATGTCCCCATTCATTCTGAGAAATCTGCTTTAGCACTAGTGCCTGTACATTTACAGCAAAGCAAGGACTGAAACAAATGTTTGCAACTTAACAATAATTACTTTAGTATGTGTCATACACTCAGTAACTATAAAGGTCTTTTTTTTTATCTTCCAGAATTTTTTATCAATTCTATTCCATAATCCTGATTTACATCAACATTTTTTTCCTTCCTTACCATTTTTGTGTCTCTGTATAGGAGGCAATTTAGTGAGAGATCCAGCCCTGGGGATGCGTGACCGTGCTCCTACCGGCCCCCTCTTCATTTCCAGTGGATCATCGGGGGGGTTGGGAAGGGCCTTGAATGGATCCTCAGCACTGAATGAAGATGGAAACATTGGCTTCTGGTGCCACATATCAGCAGAATATTATTGTGTGAACAATGAGCCAGAACTTTGGTTCACCAATGAAAATACTTCTGTCTAGAAAGAGAGCATATGACTGATGGAGAAAAAAGAAAAAAAATACAATACCAGAACGGAAAATGAACCATAGGTGTAAAATGCAGAGGTTGAAATGAAAACGTCCACTATGCAGATTCTTTGATTTAAAAGTAGCAACACCACAATGTAAAGTTGCTGAAACACAAGTAAAAGTCCTGCATTCAATCTTATTTGTGGCTTTAAATGCGTAAAATTATGGAAGTATTAACAAAAAGTCCCTGAAGTTTCAAAAGTAATCTGTACTACAGCAGAATGACCCTGGTCAATGTAACAATATACTACATGATTTAAAAAGCTGCTGATAAAGATTAGGCTATTTTTTATTATCAATTAATTAGCCAGATATTTTTGTAATTAATCAATTAACCACGAGGTCTATACAAAATGTCAGAAAACAATGGACAATAACGCAATTAACCGAATTTTGGGTCATTTTATGTCCATAAGTGATATAAACTAACCTAAAATGCGAACATATCCCTTGTTTTGGGCCAAAACCGAAATGTATACAGTGACAAGAGAAAAGCAGCAAATATTCCTCTTAGACAAGCTGGCATAAGTGAAGTTTTGAAATAACAAAATCAAACAAACACAGACCCCTACAGCTAAAATGATGAATCGTGTATTGTAATAGTTGCTGAATAATTTTCCGTTGATTAACAAAAACATTAATTGATTTAACTGTTAAAGCTGAAGATGTACACAGTATTTTAATTATAGCTAATAAAGGTGGAACACATTTTTACTGTTCTATAGCAATGGGTGGTTTATGCATCTTTGTATTATGGTAACATCTTAAGTTTTGTCTGTAAATTCTTCATCTGCAGAGTAACTAAAGTATACCTGTCTTTAGAGTTACAGCAATTAGTTAACTGACTGATCAACAGAAAATTATCCAGCAGCTACAATGATTATCAATTAATTCGTTTACAGCAAGGAGATAAGAGCTCCGTGAAAGGACAATATCAGCTTACGGCTAAATCACCGGCGTTAGCACTCTTTGGTTGTTTCTAGCTAAAATAAATCTAAAATAAATGTCTAACGGGATACATTTCTAGTAAGGTAAGACGTTAGACTTTACTTATCGTTACATTAACTGAAAATGTTACACGGTCGTTTATATTTGTAATTACATTTAGATTATAACAGAGTGTTAGCTAAAACACGTCCGTATTTGAGTAAATGTTTACTACCGTTAGCAACTTAAGCAGCATTAGTAGATAGGCTTTCAGTCATACTATGGTTTCTTGAAACGCGTGCTGCTTCTTAGCACCTCTCCGTCTAGTCATGAAAAAGCTCTACACAACAGAGTTTTTTTTTAATGAAAGTTAGCTGATATGCAGTTTAACTTCCCCTCTTTGCTGTTGTTTTGTTTCAGGTTTGTTGTCCAAGCTACGTCAGCGGTATTTGGTTACCATAGAGATGAAGGGTGAAGGCGCAGAGGGACTTCTCATTCACTCACTCATAGGGTTGTAAAATCCAACAAATTTAATAAGTGTAGTTGGAACTGTTGACTTATTGTTTAATTAAATTAACTAAAAACATTATGATTTAGTTTTATTGCATTTTCACCACAGGAAATCCAAACATCATGCAAATTGATGGTCAATTTTTGTACTCTGAACCAGTGACAGGTCTTTTGTAGAAAAGCGTTCCCCCGCCGAGCTGCTCCCCCTGTTAAAAACTCAGTTTCACGTAGCACCCTCCTCAGTGGCAGTGGTTGTGGATAATGTTAGGGTTCCTCTTATGGGAAACACATCGCGATATGGAAACAGGTTTCGACACAACACACCGGACCGACGCTCCGCCACTTTTTCCCCCAAGAGGGGAAAAAATAGGTTTATTTGCATAATCTGGATAAAATTCATAACGTTGCATTATTGTGAGAGGTTGCCTCTATGGCATTTATTCATCTATTTAGTTTTGTTGACGTTGTTGATAACTGTATGGGGGAAAAAAAACGTATTGATTAATTTGCGCCGGGCGGTGGCGTCACTTCCGGGATACAGACTTCCTGTTTAAGGCTCTTCCATGCAGCAGCAGCAGAAGAAGAAGCTTTATTCATTGTCATTGTAACACGTACAACGACATTATGTTTGGAGCCGAGGTCACCGGGCCGCTGCAAGCATACGCGCCACCATCACGGTCAACCGGGGGGTTCAGTGTCTTGCCCATGGACACTATGACACGTGGACTACAGGCACCGAAACCTTCGGCGGGTGCAACAGACGACAGCTCTACCCACTGCACCACTGCCGCCTCCTTCCCACCATACCCACTCCTTCAAATACACACATATAGTTGAAAAAAAAAAAAAAAAAAAAAGTTATGGCCCTGACGATCCAGGCAGGCAGTAGCAAAGGCAGAGATGCCATTCACTTTATCAGAAGTCATCAAGATGATTTTTAAGTCAATTTTAATGTAAACAAAAGTAAAATATCATGCAAGCAGTTACAGACATTCCCCCTGTCTGTCCCACACACCCACACACAAACTCCACACTCATTATTCTCTCACTTAGAAACTCCCACAAGACCATGAACACATAGATGTACTTAGCTTCCCAATCAAACAGCCTCTGCCTCTCATGCCACCAGTGGACTTAATGTGCTTTGCTTAAGCATGATGAGTGCACTAGTGGAGGTGGAGTACCCTGACAAGAGTCAGGTTAAGTAGCTGTGCTGCATGGAACAGTTTGTGTTGAGGAATGTATTACAGATAACAGGCCTGAAAGTTTTCTCAGCACACATGCAACGCAGGCCGATGAATCCTCCCAAACAACGGTCTTCATTACTTTGCTGCTTGTGGCCACAGCCTGGCCTCGACAGCAGCTTTTGCTGGAGGTCAATCTACCACACAGGGATATGATATGACACACAGGCACATGCAATACAAATAACACACACCCTCGCACAATGAACACATACATACTCAATGACACAAGCACTTGATGGAGAATTAGTGGTTCACCCATCTGTTCCTCTTTTGTGCATAGTGTGCTTGACAATGTATTAAAAGTCCAACTTATAGCAAAGATTCAATTAAATGCAGTGTTAATCTTTCTCTTTGCCTCAGATACAAACACACACATGTAAATTGCAATGGTGCTTTCCATAAAATTTGCTGCATTAACCGCTTGTTGATTTCCTTCTGGCTTTAAGATACCCTTGGCTGTCTCACCCCAGTATCAGCACAGTGTGTGAAACTGAGTTGTGGGACTAGCCCTTTTCTTTCAGGTCCTCAACTCAAAGCTTTTAAAACCTTTAGTTAAACAGATATCCAAGTCCCTGTGTGGCAAAATACGTTTTCTGTCTTCCTGAAACCCTGCATCTTTTCCTCTCCTCCCCAAGTCTCTCCTTCCACTTCTCATGTCTGCAGGTGGATATGCATCTCTCCAGACACTTCATTAGTTCCATTAAGACTCCTAAAGCTGCTTCTGTTTCTCCTAAACAACAGACAGGTGTAGGGATCTCCTTTCACATCGGGATCAAAGTCTTACTTTAGAGAAACTGATGAATCACAGCTGCAGGTATGTGTTTACTTGTATAAATGAGGTGAGAAATATTGAGAGCCACTCATAAACCATGCTGTTATTTGTTACATATGTCTGTACCTGGGGTATGAGGCGGTCCAGCTGAGTGGATCTGTTTCTGTGTGATGGATGTGTAGAGAGCCACTCGGGGAGGCTGGGCTCTCCGGTCAGCTGGCATTGGATTTCCATTTGCTGCCAGAATACGGGGCCCGCTCGCACATCTGCACATGCCTGGGAAAGACACACACAGACCTCATGTCATCACAAACACAGACTCAGTAGGGGTTTTCCATTATATGAACTTACTGAAACATGTCAAGGTGATTAATGGTTGTCATGGGTTGTTTTCTCTAAGGTGCACTATCAAATGGAATCATCATTTCATTGTTTTAACTCATTACTGGCCCTGAAATGCAACTGTCTTAACTTTTCTTGGAATGTGTTGCAGGCATCAGAATTGAAATGAGTGAGTGTTTATTTTGAACAAATAATAAATTGATGAGGTACCACATCAAATAATGTGCTGCTGTGTTGTTTTCAATGTAATAGAGGCCACAGATGATTTATAAATCACTATTTTCAGATTTAATTTTGAGTTTACATACTGTCCCAACTTTTTCTGATTTGGGGTTGTATAAAATAAGTGGAGTGCCCCTGTTTAACAAATGACATGTTAGAAATGATGATACCTTAGCAGCCAACTGCAATCCGACTTGGTCGGCTTCAGCCTCCAGTATCCTACTATAGGGGCGGCTGAACATCAACTGAGGGAGAGAAAAAGAGTGTCCATCTACGAGTTTGTGCAGACTATAAGATTCATACATATTTAATTATATAATACATAATTGAATTTATACATTTATGACCATTTCACCAAAAAATCTGAAACATTTTGAGCTTCATAAACAGATGTTAAGGTAGAAGTGTTGTACCAAAGTGCATACAATTGTACAGCTGTATCTAATAAAGCGGCCAGTAAGCGGTATTGTAATTCTTCCTCATTTCAGTGGCAGCCATGAAGTGGTATTATACTGTGTATATACTCACTGGCTACTTTTTTAGATACACCTGTACAATTGAATGCAATTCAGTGAATACACCTCTGAATATAATGTAGTCCAGTACAACACCACCTTTAATTATGACCTCAATAATAAACATATAATTGAATTTATACATTTATGACCATTTCACCAAAAAAACTGAAACATTTTGAGCTTCATAAACAGATGTTAAGGTAGAAGTGTTGTACCAAAGTGCATACAATTGTACAGCTGTACCTAATAAAGCGGCCAGTAAGCGGTACATGAAGTGGTATTATACTGTGTACATGCGTAGCACTTTGAATGTGTCACCTGTGTAAGCTTGCCCTGCACCCACTGCCCCAGCAGTGCCAGGCTGTCTCGAGGACACATGGCCCAGATGGCAGTCAGCAGAATAAAGGACAGGAGCTCCACAACATGAGACAGACTGGCCTGTTCTGATGACAAGGAGGCTGTGACAAAGGACAAAAAGACAGAAGAAGGAAGGAGAGGTTTCGGGTGCAAAAGACAGTGTCTGGATAGCAAGAAAAAAACAGTGGTAAAAGTTTCTGGGAGGTGACTGAGGCAGCTGAAAAATACTGATTGCTTTCATCTCCTTTGTAAAACCTTTACTCCGTAATAGATTTAGAGGTTTTAACAGCCAATCAAATAGAACACACCTAGTGGGTAATACCAAGTCCATAGAGACTGTGTCTGCCCTCGACCACCTAAATTATATAAATCAAAAATCAAGTCAAGAGGAGTTATTCAAAAGAACCTAATTAAAATTAAGATGACTCCTCTTACGCAACAAAATAAGAGGACGCTCAAATGTGGACTATTAAATATCAGATCTCTCTCATCTAAATCTCTGTTAGTGAATGATAAGTGAACATCACATTGACTTATTGTGTCTTACTGAAACATGGTTACAGCAGGAAGAATATGTCAGTCTAAATGAATCCACTCCACCTAGTCACAGTAACTGTCACATCCCTCGAAACACAGGCCGAGGTGGTGGCGTGGCAGCGATCTTTGACTCAAGCCTATTAATCAACCCTAGACCTAAACATAGTTATAACTCATTTGAAAGTCTCACCCTGAGTCTCTCACACCCAAAGTGGAAGGCTCAAAAGCCTGTTCTGTTTGTTATTGTATACCATCCACCTGCTCCTTATTCAGAGTTTTTAAGTGA